AATTTGTCCAACCCGCGTTTTCGCCCACATTCTTTTTTCCGTCTTTGTGAGATTACTGCTTGTGGGTCCTTTGTGCGATAGCCTAGTATGTAACCTATTCTGACTTCATACTCGTAAATTGGGATAAGCTTTTTGAGTCGCCCTGAGGTACTGGGGATCATCCATCCTCATTCTGCTGGGTCGATCTCTAAGTCTTTGATGTCCAATTCTTGTCTGAATAGACTGACTCTATTTGGCTATGGTTGCACGTGTGAGCCCTGCTTATGTCCCGATTTGATTGTTCATGCTCTTATTCTCTTGAGAGTGTTAAGGTTTTGTGTTGACCTTGTTTCTACAATTTTTGCTGGTTTTACCCAACATTTGTTTCTTTCCTCCAATTCAAACACGGTGAAATCAGCCTTTTCGTCTGCTGCGTCTGTAATCTGGATTAACTTTTAGGTGACGGTCGGATGGTCTGTTCCCTTTTTTGTGGCCCAATCCCCTACTGACCACCTAGGTTTGTTTTTCAGAAGGAAAACCCATTTGAGTGGGATGCTTTCTATGAGTTTGTCTAGGTGTTCTTTTAAATTGTGAACTTCTTTGAGTTTGGATCTGAGTTCATGGTGCATGATGTATCGCGGGTTATATGGCGTGAGCCAAGGTATGAATTGAGGGAATATGGATTGTCATGGCATAATAGGGATGTGCGAGGAAGTCACCATTGAGGATAAAATGCTTTTCTAGGTAGAATGATGGGTAGGAATGATGGGGGTAGTCAACAAACCCAAAATGACATAAGAGATGACAGGGTAGTCAACCAAACAAAAAAGACTGAAATTGTAATGCTTTTCTAGGTAGATGATGGGTAGAAATTATGTGGGTAGTCAACCAACCCAAAATGACACAGGAGATGACAGGGTAGTCAACTAAACAAAAATGATTGAAATTGTAAACTTTTGCTGGGCCGATACTGACACTGAGAGACGGACTCTTTTTTTCTATTTGCCTTTGCAGGTATGAAGCGAATGCAGGTTTCTCAACATCGACAACAGTTCACAATGACCGAGAAGATCTTACGAGATTTTTGACAATTGAGGAGCTTGGAAAAGATATTTTGAGGCACAAACACACTGACCGTTACATTTTGAACCGACAAAGATTCGAGGATGCATATTTGCGCTGGAGGGTGTAAATGTTTCTTCAAGATCACTGTACACACTTGATAGATCACATAAACTTTCATGTGAAGAATGTCGACAAGATACTCTCTGAGGTAATTTATGATTATGGAACATGTCAGTCAAATGAGGAAGATGCGCTGCCCCAAATCGAAGTTCAAAAAAAAAAAAAAAAAGGGGATGGTGAGCTGTGGGGGAGAGCCGCCTGCTAGCGTCACCGGCCAGCCAGCATCAAAATTCTAGTCGAGTATCCATTCCTCGATGATTGTCCCTACCCAGTCTCCTCTTACAGTTTGCTTTACATCCAGATACCTTGCTTGCTGCGTACCTTACTGCTACATACTAGAGTTTTATGATATACACCTCCTGCTTGGCCTCACATTGTATGCCTCATCATCTACCAATCACTATACCCTTGTTACTCATGTAGCTCCCTTAGTGTTTTTGGATTTGTATATACTATGTAGTATCATGGCTATTCCGTTTTTTATGTGTCGCCCTTCACACCCTCCCCCTCCCCTCGTGTACTTGTATACCTTTCCCTGCTTTTTTAACCCTAACGTCATCCTTCTCCTTCTATGTCTACACTACAACTTAGTATATCTTGTCCTCATCCATTGCCATTCACTTGCACATGGGTCTCTGATTGACACGTTCATCGCACCAACAGAGGGCCAAATGAGACACCGTGACGGACCGACTGGGGATCTGGCATCAACAGTTGCGGTGTCAGGCGGCTGCCTATCAGCCGATGGGCTTTTTCCGAAAAATGGGAACAAATTTTCCTTTCGTTGAGGGTTTTTTTTGCATGGTTTTGACGTATGCCTG